CACTCGGCCGTGAAAGGGCAAACTCTTGGGCTTAGGCGGTAGTCCCTCCTTTCGCGCGCTCCTAGCCCCCAGGATTTCGCGCGGCCATTTTTTTTTCGCGAATTTCTTTCGCGTCACGCACGACGGACTAAGCGAAAGAGGGACTACTCGTAGTCTAGCTGCTATTTGGTGTTCCTGGTTTAAGTAGAGGTTCATGAAACTTGATTTGGTCACAGAAGGAAAACTTTGCTTTCAGTTTACTTGTGTACTTGGTAGCGTAGCTGATTGCGTCAATGTCAACGCCAGCGCGCGCATGACGCTTAACCATGCCTTGCGTGATGCGCAGAACGTGTGCGCACTAACAAAAGTAGGCACCGTCCTTAAGCCTAATATTCGCAGCATGAAAACAGAGATTTACGCAAAATTAAGCTGGCTTAAAGCTTCTTAAAGTTGGTCATCAAACTTTGCACTACAAGCGAAATGTAGCTAAGTTCAAGTCTCTTTAGGAAAATTTAAAGCATGCTTACATGATACATTTACGACAACATTACGCCAGCTTTACAACAGTAAAATTATGTTTTCATGCTGTAATCAATGTTGTTCCAAAGTTGCATGGCAAACAGAAAACCCTTTCAAAATATTCTTTTATTGCAAATGGACTAGATGTACATGTTGTGCAAAGTCGTACATATTACCAAAATTAGTGCGATATGTTTTTCTTCTTCTTTTTCTTTTCTTTTTTTCTAGTTTTACGCGTGAATCAGGGGCACAGTTTTTTCTTTAGTCTTAACCTACATGCGCAGGGGTTTTCACACGCGTAAACAGTGATAAGAACAGTCAGTGGAGCTAATTAGACCCGGAGCAACTCCCATCATTAGGAAGTTTTAAGCAACCACAACGGCGACGCGGGGACAACATCGATTGGAAAATGAATTTATATTCAACCTACGAATCTCGCGAAACTCTGAAGTCATTTAGTTAGTCTATGGCTGTCGGAGACATCTCAAATTGTCTAATTCATCTCGTTGAATTAGACATTTAAAATTATAAATATTGGCCGTTGTGGTTCACATTCTCTAGCCTGCACAGAATTTGGTCATTTCACGTCGTTGTTTTGCAGAAAGCAACAAAGAAATAGACCAAGATTTAAAACACACATGCACAGCCACTGTTATGTTCGTCCTAGTTGCCGTCGCCGTTGTGGTTTGCTCAAACTTCCTAATTGTCATCACCACCACAAACATGAAGCACTGCTACTTCGATCGCCGCCGCGACCGCCGCCATCGTCGTCGTCTTTTCTTTGTCATCGTCGTCATCATCATCTGTTTTGGAGGAGTCTAGCTGTTTTTGCAGTCCTGGTAATAACTTTATTAATATTAGAAAGCTTAAGCAATGATGACGCCTAGTAAAAACTGAATTTATATTTCATCTACGAATTACGCAATTCTTTAGATCTGCCCAGTACACCTATCGCTCTTACAACGTGCTCAGGTTAAAAATGTAATGACAGCGTTCAATTCAAACAGAAATACGTGGTTTGCTATTACCCATTCAGTGTCGACATATAATATAGAAACTACACTATTCTGACCGTATACAAACACTGTATATATACTAAAAGATTACCAAGAGCCCCGTCTTTTGGTCCCATTCATAAATGGCTGCCAATTAAAAATTCTCGTGTAAGTATTACAGTTATCCCAACTAACCTCGTTTTTGAGTTGATAATTCAAAAGAGGTCAGTTGGGTTAATTTAAACGAATACAAAAGAATTGTAAATTGGCAGCCATTTTTGAATAGGGTCTATGGGGTCACTGATAATTTTTTTTCAGGGGTCAGTGAAAGTACTGACCACCGACTGGAAAACAAGATTATTAAGCATCATTGATTTAAAAATCCTGGGTCTTTCTGCAGAAGTACAGCCTTAATTCCCTCAAAATGAGCATTTGCATAATATTCTAATGCGTCTTGGGTTTGTTGGTAAGTCAACTTGCTGATGTCATCGGGCAACTCGCGGAGTTTCTTCCCAGTTTGCATTGCAATCATCTGCAAAACAAAAACGCCCACATTTTTTATGCCAAATAGAAGACAAAGAAGGAACTTTACATTACCTTGGCCGTGCTGTAAAAACAGCGTTAACACCATAACACAGAGAGTATGTTAAAGAAATGAAAGTGTGCACAAATAGACCATATTCATATTCTCAGTATAGACTGGAACTAGCTTGCAACTAAAGCTAATGCGGGGAATCTTTTCAGTCTACTCCCGNCCCCCCCCGCTCAGTCTACTGCAAATGAAATAAATCTCTTTTTAATGATATTCCCCCACATGAGCCTCCATTCAGTGCAAGCTAGCTCCAGTCCAACACGGAGAATAAGAATATAGCCTTTTGTACCACAGTGCAATCTTAATTTTGCGAACTCGAAAACTTGGCTCAAAAAACTTGAGGGTAGATTTCTTGTGATTCTTTTTCAAAGGGCACGAAAGGGTGCTTCAAATAATCACGGGGCTAGAAATATCGAGGACCCAAAAAACCACGATTCCACTGCCGAATCACAGGACAGAAACACTGCCTGTGCAAACATGCCTGTAAAATCCAAGACCGGCTTGGCGTAGTTAAAAGAGTAACCTTCGCATACGGTATACCATACATGAATCAAAGTGCTCTATGAACAAGCCCGTGAATTTCCCAGTAAATGGTTATTGACGTGAGGTAGCCTTTGCCAACATGGAATTACCTTTTTCATAATAAAACACTAATATTTTGAAGAGAAAAAAAAATTACAACCAGCAATAATCAACCACAATTTCTTAAGCTGAAAGCCAACGAGGAAAACAGTCTTTCGCAATCGCAAAAATTAGTTCCTGCAAAGATGTCATGCCACACAGTAACAGGTACAAGCTGTTATTAACAACAATTTAACCAGAAGTTTTAACAACCATTCAATTTGAGTTATTTTAACTAACAATTGCATTTTTAGCAGAACAGTT